TTTTTTTTTTTTTAACCTCCTTTTTTTCCTGCAAATACGTTTAGGGTGAAGAAGCTGAAGGAGACCTTTGCGTTTATTCAGCAGTTGGACAAAAACATGAGCAACCTTCGCACCTGGTTGGCTCGAATTGAGTCAGAGCTTTCTAAGCCTGTTGTTTATGACGTCTGTGACGATCAAGAGATCCAGAAGAGGCTCGCCGAGCAGCAGGTGGGCAAACAAACTTTTTTCAGCATATAGGTGCCTATGATATCTGCTAACTCAGACCTTCCCCGTAGTGGCTGTGTCTTTTAGCGTGTTCACATTTCATAATATTGGTGTGTTTTTCCAGAGAAAACTGACCAGTGTCCATGTCCTTGTATGTGTGAGATGACATGTCTTGAGTGCCCCTCTGCCACCACGTTCACATACCTCTTTGTGAGATCAGTGTTTGAGAAAGAGGTCTTAGCGGTAAATAAGGTTTTTTGCTTATGTATTTTTTTAAACTTGGATCTTTGTTTTGTTTTTGGTCGTATCGTTTTGGGAGGCAATGAATTGAAAGAAAAATAAATTTTTTAACCAGGAAAAGTTTTCATTGGACAATACAACTGATGCTAGGAGGGGAAAGGTATGATAAACAAAATGCTTAGGAAGCCCCTTTGGTACTCTGTACATTTCTCTCATCAGTTACATAACCCTCAGCGCCAACCCTGGAAACTCCACAGTGTGAAACCACTGAGTCCTGCCAGTGTTAACATCACACTAACCTGGTGGGTGCTCATTGATGTCACTGACTTATCAAGTTCACTTTCCTGACTTCCATGGGCTCGTATTCACAAGTTTATTCTCCTATGCAGTGCCTGGAGCTTGTCTTTATTTTTTTTTTTTTAATTTTTTTTTCAACGTTTATTTATTTATTTTTGGGACAGAGAGAGACAGAGCATGAACGGGGGAGGGGCAGAGAGAGAGGGAGACACAGAATCGGAAACAGGCTCCAGGCTCTGAGCCATCAGCCCAGAGCCTGACGCGGGGCTCGAACTCACGGACCACGAGATCGTGACCTGGCTGAAGTCGGACGCTTAACCGACTGCGCCACCTAGGCGCCCCATATTTTTAAAATTAAGTTTAAGATGCCTGGGTGGCTTAGTCAGTTAAGCGTCCGACTCTTTTTTGTTTTTTTTTAATGTTTACTTTTGAGAGAGAGAGAGAGAGAGAGAGACAGATAGACTATAAGAGGCAGAGACACAGAGAGAGAGGGAGACACAGAATCCCAAACAGGCTCCAGACTCTGAGCTGTCAGCACAGAGCCTGACGCGGGGCTCGAACCCGTGAACCGTGAGATCGTGATCTGAGCCGAAGTCGGATGTTTAAATGACTGAGCCACCCAGGTGCCCCAAGCACCCAACTCATTATCTTGAGGTTCATGAGATTGAGCCCCGCATCAGGCTCTGTGCTGACAGTGAGGAGCCTGCTTAGGATTCTCTCTCCCTCTCTCTCTGCCCCTCTTCAGCGCTCACTTGCACTCTCTCAAAATAAATAAACTCTAAAAAAAACATTAAATTAAATTAAGTTTGTATTGGGGCACCTGGGTGGCTCAGTTGGTTGAGTATCTGACTCTTTTTTAAAATTTTTTTTTTTAATGTTCATTTTTATTTTTGAGAAAGAGAGCGTGAGCAGGTGAGGGTCAGAGAGAGAGGGAGACACAGAATTCGAAGGAGGCTCTGGGCTCTAAGCTGTCAGCACAGAGCCCGACGTGGGGCTCAAACTCACAGACAGCGAGATCATGACCTGAGCCGTAGTCGGACGCTCAACTGACTGAGCCACCCAGGGGCCCCAAGTGTCCAACTCTTTATCTCAGCTCAGGTCTTGATCTCGGTATTGTGAGTTCCAGCCCCGCACTGCACTCCATGCTGGGTGTGGAGCCTACTTAAAAAACAATTAAGTTTACATTATCCTTTCAGTAGCTTTCCTTCACCTTCATAGATTTTTCTCAGACCTGTGAGCAGATTCTGTTTTGACCATATAAGCAATATGGTTGTCATCAGGTTCTCAGATTCATACATGTTTTCTTCACATTATCTCCAAAGTCTTAGTGTTTGCTACCTGTCAGCTCACCAGGAAGATTCACCCACAGGTAACAGCTGTTCTTAAAGAAAGAACTAGGGCTGAAACTTCTTAGATTCGAGGGCAGAAGTGATGATAAATTGATGACGAATTCCCTTGAGTTCAAGTCAGTCTTTTTAACGGGAATAAGTGACATCTCATGCTACCATAAAATAGAGCCATTACTCTTGACTTAGATCTTTATTCGGTCTATTACTATTTCCTGTTTAAACAATGCCTATTCTCTGACTTTCAAATTAGTATGATTTAGCAATGCTACTAAGTAAAAATACTTAGCCTCAGAAATTTAAGTATGTCTTTTTCATGGAGACCATCTCAATGCTGTCTTTGCTTTGTGGAGAAATGAATACTGATAGAAGTACCATGTTAATGGACATTGAACGGATTTTAATGGCCTTCTCAGTGGAGTCACAGCTACTGGACATTATCAGCTTTGTTTGCAAGTTTGATCCACTAAGATAAATTCCCTGAGCAGTCTCTTTACAGACAGGTCTTGCAAATAGCAATTCACCCTGAGTGGTGAGTTTTTTCAGATAAACAGAAGCGGAGTATATTTTTCCTTTCAGAGGAAAAATTTGGCAGGAGTCAATAATGTGTGTCAATGTTTTATAAACCTGAGTGTGCCAAAACATTAAATTGCAGGGACTGTATCCCCCAAAGGATACAATTTGGAGCAGCTGCCATCCTCCGGGCCTGGTTTGGTCCTGTATTGAAATGGTCCATAATTTCACTGTGGTTGATTTGAAGCTTCCCTCTTCACAGAACTCAGAATCACCATCAAGGAGTTCTTATCTCGTAGTAATCCAAAGCCAATCAAAGAGTTGGTGTTTAGGACTACCGTTACTGTAAGGAAGTTAGATGTTGTAGGAGTTTTCTATGATTGCTTTAACAAATTTACCACAAATTTAGCAACTTAGACCCCAATTTATTATCTTACAGTTCTGGAGGTCAGAAGTGTGACCCCGGGTTAAGATGAAGGTGTCAGATGGGCTGCATTTCTTTGTGGCAGCCGCAGGGGAGAACCCATTTTTTTTACCCTTTCCAGCTTCTGGAGACCGCCCACATTGCTTGGCTCATGGCCACTTCCTCCATCTGCAAAGCCAGCAACATGGCATCTGTCTGTGCTTTTCCTTCACAGTCCCTCCTCCCTCTGACTGACCCTTCTACCTCCCTCTGCCACTTTTAAGGACCCTAATCACACTAGGCCACCTGGATAATAGGTCAGCTAATTGGCAACTTGAATTCTCCTTTGACATGTAGCCCAACGTATTCACAGATTCTGGGGACAAGGACATGGTTATCTTTGGGCACTCAAAATTCCACTTACCACCCATGTCCTGAGCAAACTTTTAGTATTTTTGTTTAAAAAAAAAATTATACCAAAACCAGACCTTAAAGCCTTCACGAAAAACATGAAAAACAGAAATGTGTCACACAAAAGAATTATATGTGGGCTGTTAAAAAAACCTTACTTGAGTTTCTATCACTAAGTATAATAAGTTGCATGATTGTTTCCAGAAATAAGACCTAAAAGTTTGGGATCATCTAGTAGTGCCTTCTGCAGAAGCCCTCAAGCCCGCAAAAGTGCTTCCCAGATCCTCATTGCAATGTTCTGGGGAGCACCCTGGGTAAGAGGTCAACCTTATGAGGGTCGTTTTTGTTTCTCTTATGCAGAAATCCTGAAGCAATAAGGGTTGCGTTGTTATTTCTGTGGCATAGATCATCTTCAGAGAAAGTGGTAGCAACCTTTGTGACACTTCTAACATGAACCACTTTCATTAAGCCTTGGGCATTTCTCTCCTGTTTTCTTTGGCTCCCTGGTTCACTGTGGGGTGCCAGATGCTAACATGGGGAGCTGGTGCTGTTAGGTATCCCCCATTCTGTAATTACCAGTAGCCCCCTTCCCAGCAAGCCAACTCAGCTAAACACCAACCTCCATAAACCACAAGCCACGACCACCTGCCCCACTGGCTTGCCAACCCAAGCCCCTCCCCCCAGAGTCAATCTGGAGCCACCATGGGAGCCCCACCCCACGTGATTTTCTGCCCCCCACCTCCCTCCCCCGCCCCGAGACTGACTTTCTTCTTTTCTCCCTTTATCTTATTTTTTTAGTTCCTTTTGTATTCTCCTCCTTCCTGGTCGTGTTCTCCCCGACCTCTTACCTTGGATCTTCCTCCTCATTCCTCCCACCCCTGTTACACTCTTCCTCAGCTTCAGTGCTCTTGGTCACCTGCTCAGGAACAGAAACACAACGCAAACGGTTTCCAGAACCATCGGCAAAAGTCTTTTACATCGTCTTGTGTTGTTTCTTAAGTCCCCTTCTTCAAATTGCACTTACGCAGTTTTTGAAATCTAATTTACTGTGCATGCTCATGCCTCACTGGGAATCAGTGGTGGGATCGGTTTAGTCCGTAACATGTCCCTCGTTTGGCACTTAAATGGTTCGCATTTTTTCAGTATGCTTCACTACTCTATATTTTACCAAGTAACTAGTGCATATTATAATCCGTAGATCATGCTGCTGTGTTTTAAATGTCTGGTTAGGAGGGGCGCCTGGGTGGCGCAGTCGGTTAAGCGTCCGACTTCAGCCAGGTCACGATCTCACGGTCCGTGAGTTCGAGCCCCGCATCAGGCTCTGGGCTTGATGGCTCAGAGCCTGGAGCCTGTTTCCGATTCTGTGTCTCCCTCTCTCTCTGCCCCTCCCCCATTCATGCTCTGTCTCTCTCTGTCCCCCCAAAAAAATAAATAAACGTTGAAAAAAAAAAAATTTTTAAATGTCTGGTTTGGAAATTTTGAAAATTTTTGCAATTTGGTTAACCAAAATGTTGATAGTCGTCTATAAACTATCACAGAGCTCATTTCTTGCTCTCCCATTCACCCTGTCTGTTAGTTTTCTATCGCCATTTTATTCAATATAAGCTGAACAAATAAGGTAGAGAAACTGCAAATAGTCTATTAAAATATGCAGCCCTCATATTTATCCATAGACTGGACCTTTTCAGTAATTTTCAACCAGACCCTACCAGCTGAGGTCAGGGGCAGGTACCATTTTTCAATTCAAATTGCCACTATTGGGGTGCCTGGGTGGCTCAGTCGCTTACGTGTCCGACTTCGGCTCAGGTCACGATCTCGCGGTCCGTGGGTTCGAGCCCTGCATCGGGCTCTGTGCTGACCACTCAGAGCCTGGAGCCTGCTTCAGATACTGTGTCTCCCTCTCTCTCTGCCCCTCCCCTGTTCGTGCTGTGTCTCTTTCTGTCTCAAAAATAAATGTTAAAAAAAATTTTTTTTTAAATAAAACTGCCACTATTACTCATATAACACCAATGTTAGGAT